CACTTGCTCAGCATTGGCCTAACTCTTCTCCCACTGAAAGAACTAATAATGTGCTGCCCAGCTGGTATACTGAGACCACTGCCTATCATGCAATACTGTTTCCATGTGCTCCTTCCTTTGCTGGTCTGTATCCACCTACTGTTTCTTGTCTTATACGTAGATTGAAAGCTCTTTGGGGCAGGGACCGTCTTTTTCTTCTGTGTATGCAGAACTTAGCACAATGAGATCCTGGTCCGTGATTAGCGCTCTTAATGCAAATAATTAGTAATAAAAAAACCTCCCACTGATTTCAATATGAGCTGTGAGGCCAATCCTGAGTGCTTCTGAAAGCCCCACCTGAAAGGGATATATTACTGACACAAACCCTCATGAGAACAAAGTTGAAACAACAGCTGAACATTTAGGACATGAGCACAGAGGCTGTTTCATTCTGTAGCCTTTATATTCATTGCATGTACCTGTACCAAGGCAGAGAAATGCATCATAACTGGTAATGGAAAACTGAATTTATCTCATAATCCTTAATGCCTCATGAATGGCTGAGCACTTACAATTTTTAAGTTGAGATGGAATCGGAGCAAAATGGCCCCATAATTTATAATATGAATATGAAATAAAGTGGGACTTCACCACTGAAAGTCAAGCACCAGCACTTCCTTTGATTTACTTCAATGACTCAACCTATCTCATGAGCTATTTTTCATATTCCTTATTTAGAGGCCTTACTCATGTCTCAGAGAAAGCCTGCAATGTGATAAAGCAAATGTCAGGGAAGTGTAATGGGTGGCGGTGGTGGTAACACCTCCGGTGCCAAAATCTTACTTCCACATTCATGTGGCTCTATAAATTCATTCTTGCTTTTCCCCCAAAAAGAATGAGAAGAAACTTTGTCTCTCCCTTCCAATTAGCACAGCCCATGAAAAAGGGAGGCACTGGGTCACATTCCTCCTGGGTGGCACTCCATTGCCTTTCACTGAGTTATGCCTAGCGTGAATTTGGTCCTTTGAATTTTCAGTGCTGTGAGTGTTATCTTTAACATACAAATTACAATATTGGCAGAGAACCATGTTCATTCAGTTTTTGTCTCCTGAAAATTGTCTCCAAGGGAAAGCAAGGAATTAAAAAATAAAAAAAACTAAAGTAGGTCACTCTCAAGCTACGGCTTCTCTGCAAAAAGAGTGGAATTATAGCTAATTTGATGTAAAATCCCAGTGGAAACCAAGTGCAGGTCATTTTTAACTTTGATGTAGCTAGTCCAGTTCAACTCTAGACCCCTAACCTGGGGTTTACCTCAACGTAGCTAGTCAAGGTAAAAACTACAATGCCCTATCTATTTCCACTTGGATTTTACACTGAGATAACTAACTCACTGCAAAAATACACCTGTTTTCCAGTGAAAACAGCCTCAGTGGAGTAGCTTCTGCAATGAGAAGGCCCTTAATCATATAAATAGGGAAAAAATCTATTACTGCCATCCCCACAGAACAATAGAGACCTTCCTTAAAACCAGTTAATGAACATCAATGCGAGAGGTGCAAGAACTTTTACCAACCTCTCTCCATAGTCAGATTTCTAACCCTTTTAAAAGCCCGGGGAGTTGCTAGAGTGTGACCTGGATTGAAAAAACAAACAAACCACCTTATTGGCAAGCCAAACAACAGTTCCCAAAAGCTTTTCAGCATAGCTGTTGCTTGCAAGTTTCAAAGACCAAACTCAAAGGGGGTGGGGATAAGCATAGTGTTGCACTTGCTTACACCAGGACTTGATTTGGCTCACTGTTAACAGGGGCTAAATCTCGCCTGCTCAGAGGGAGTAACACGTATACCTCCTGAGCTGCAATGTGCGCTCCTGGTACCACGTCACACTGGAAGTGAGGATTAATGGCTCTAGAAGATAACAGCTTATGTTTATAAAGGATCCTTCTCCCACCAGGCCAAAACATGCCTCACACAACCCCTGCTGTGCTAAAGAGGAAAAGGAAGTCTGATAGTGCCATTTGGAGAGAGGCTGAGACTCAGAAGGGGTGAAAAGCTCCAGACAGAAGGGACAGCACCAGTGAAAGAGTAGCCTTTGACTGTGGAGAATCAGCAGGATCAGCCTCAGCCTGAGGTTGCTGAGCGTGGGTGAGCAGGGTGTGAATAGGATTTGGAGACAATAGGAAGCCAGTGTAAGTGTTGGAGTTTGGGGTAGAGGCAGAGAGTGAGACAGTTGTCTGGGACCTCTGGGGTTTCGAAAGCTGTGTCTTCAGCAGCTGTGGAAGTGTCAACCAGGTACCAGTATGGAAACCAACAGATTGATTATGGGGAGGGAGAGGAGTGGCAAACAGAGGAAGACAACAGCTGTGCTGTAGTTCTTGCTTCTGGTGTAGAACAATAGTGTCCCAAACCATTTCTTGGCTTAGCTTTTTTCTGACAGCTTGTAGATGCATTTGCCAGTAGTAGCTCAGATTGGACATCACGCTTTCACTGGGGAACATAAAATCATCTTCTTTATGTGAGTCACTGGGGAGGGGGAGGCTGGGGAGGGGAAAGTGGCCTTTAGCAAAGTGCCTAATGCACAAAGAATACGTATGCGCGCCATATGGAGTTTTGAGCTAGGAGAAATACAAATGACTAATAATACTGCAGAGCTTTCGCGGGAGGCACGGGCTCTATTCCCTGCCTTGTCACTGACACACACTGCGACCTCCAACAAATTATCTAACACTCTGGGCCTCGGTTTCCTCAGGTTGAAGGAACAGTTCTGGGCCCTCTCTCATAAAGCATTCTGACTGCCTCTGATGAAAGTTGCCATAAAGGCAAAGAGTTATTACTAGTACTTACATTAAGGCCAGAGTCAGAGACTCCAGCCAGTCGGGACAGAAGCAGCCAAAGGAGGGGAGCGAGGGTATAATGGGCCCCAGCTGGGGTCTCCCCTTTCTCCAGTACCCCACTGGACCCAGAACTGTGTGGAAGAGAACTCCCCCACTCTTAGACCACTAGGACCCAGGTGGTGGCTCCCTGCTGCTCCATGGAGCCAGCCAGAGACTCCAGCTGGAAGGAGCAGAAACAGCCAAGGCAGGGATCTCTGGACATTCAGAGCTTTGACTTGACTTTTTCTGCCCTGAGCTGATTGGCTGTTTGTTCCAACCCTCCCCATCTCTTCACCTTAGATTCACTCCACCCCTGTCTGTCCGACCCTCTTCTTCCCCTGCGCCCTGTCCTTCATCCCCTTTCCCTTTAGTTTAGCCTCTCCTACAGATGGATAAGCCACACAGCATTTGGAGGGTCTGTAAAGGAGCCAAAACGTTAGATTCTGATAACTTGGAGAGAGCAGGGTGTAGTGCTGAGCCAGAAACATCTCCAGGGCAGCTTCATGGCAATTACCACTTGCAGCTGGTTCCTAAACAAGAAATGGCTCAGAGACTCTGACATTTCACATGAACTTCCGGTTCCAAACATCATAAACCCACAGTTTGCTGTGTATTACATGTCCCTGTCCCCACCCCTTTGTGCTTGATTCACAGAACTCTTACATCTCCCAAGGAGAGGACGTAAGTCATTCAGTTGAAGATGTAAAAGGCTCATGGTTTTACTTTGGGAGTCCCCAGTTCAGTCCCTGCTCACAAACAAAATGGCAGCTATCAACCAGGAGTGTTCCCACAAATCACCTGGAAATAAGCCACCGTGTTTCAGGCTTCTTAAATAAATACATACTTTTGGGGTCTTCTGCAGGTAGCCCAGGTGCTTTTACTCTCTCCTCTTTCAATATATCTGCTTCGGGGTTCCCATGGCCCAAGACTGCTTTCACTACACTCTGTGGTACAAGCTGTTTATGAGCCTAATGGACTTGTTGCAAGTAAAGCAAGCAGAATTTTTTCAACAGTTTTTCTTTTATTTGACACTCCATAAAAACATTTCAGTTTTTCTTTCACATTCACAAGATCTTCAGGGAATTATTGCTATTTCCCATATAAAAAAACAAAGGTCAACGGACAAAGCAGCAGCACATACCGAACTCCCTGCAGACACAGAAACTCAACACAAAAGACAGTCAGTCCCCTTGTGAGAGACAATTTTATCAGAAGAAACATTAGGTGGGAGTGACCCTACATATGACAGCAAGCCATGTAACACTGAACAAGACCACTTTTCTCCACATAGTACGAACCAGTAACACTTTGAAGGGGTCAGAGGATGGGGCTGAGACTTTTAGTCTAAATTCCATCAATTACAGTTTCAATGGATGGAAGAGTAACTTTGAGGAGGGTTAGATAGATGTTCAAGTATTATAGGGCAGTTCTTAAATAACAGATGAGATATAGTAGCTCAGCAGGATAGCCTGATCACTTCATTTAAAGTCCCTGGTTCTCTGTGTTAGGTAAAAGCACATACAGTACAAAGGCAAATGCAGAAACACAGGAAACGCCACACCTAAATAGATCGATGGTCCATGTAATTAAATATCTTGTCACAGAGAGTGGCCCAATGCCTGATGCTTCTGAGAAAGGTGAAAACCCCCTGTAATGCCCCTGATTCTGCAATAATAAAATCACAAAGGGAAATTTCTTCCTAACCCTAGCTTCAGATCAGCTTAATCCCTGACGCATGAAAACAAACAACAAGGAAAAAGGCAAAACGAATATTAGAGTGCTTGCCTTCCCTGTCGTTTCAAGGATTGTGCTTTTCATTTGACTTGATCTTTCCTGATACAGTTGTTTATTGCTTACCCTTTAAACAAGGCTGTTACAATTTTTCAAAGAGACAGGAACTGAGAGACAGTTGTATGGGTCTGACCCGTTTACGTGGAAGGGGTTCCATTGTTCCCTAGGGGTCTGGAAGTACAGTAGTGGTTGCACTCTATTAAAAACTTAGAAAAGCAGTGTTGTTTTGTTTTTAAAGAGGACATTAAATCTTTAGAAAGCCAGCCCAGTGTACATCACTTTTGTTGGTAGTCAGTGTCCATATACACAAGTTTTCACCCACTATGACTATTCTGTTTTGGAATAAATCAGTGAGGCCTTCTGTATTGCACGTTCATGAAATGTTCTTATTGGAATCACAGTTGGTAACAAAGGAACATATTATTTCTAATTTCCAATAGGGCTTAGCATGATGAAGATGCAGTAATAGGACTAAGTTTTAGCTGATGGACAGGAGAACGAATGGGCACAGAACTCAAGACTGAGGTAGGAAATGTGTAACATGAGCCTTCAAAGTTTTTGCTTAAAGTCAGTTCTTCTGCAAAAAAAGACACAGCTTCTCTTTTGCATGAGGCAACAGGGGGACTAGGAGTGGAAGACAGGATCTCTGACTCATACTGTAGTAATTGGCCCATGAAACCAAAATTTGGTGAGATCAGACTCCTACGTTGTTTGATGTAATCAAATGCCTCCTCCAGGCGGAACTTTTTCGTTTTCATGAGATAAGCCATGCAGATGGTGGGGGAGCGTGAAATTCCGGCTTCACAGTGCACCAGGATTTTGCCTCCAGCTCGCCTCACGCAGTCTGGAAAGAAATAATTCATTACAGACATTAGTTCTCATTACGGACAAGAAGGATGCTGCAGTTCTCATTTCAAGGGACACTGAAAACAAAATGCATCATCTAGAAGAAGCCACATGTCCAGTCATCCAGGAGGAGGGTGAGTCCCCCTCTTATTTGATACACAAACAATTCATGATCAAGCAGAGATTAAAACAACAAGCAGAGATGGGTCTGAGTCAAAATACAGATTGGGATCTGCTTAAGAGCTGTCCCTTTGGCCCAAGCTCTAATTTTAAGAAGGCTTTTCCCCTTCTCTTCCGCAAAAAAATTAAATTATCTTTTCCTACAAAGACAAGGTGGAAAGTATCAGCAATTCCACAGCAATCAGAATGCTGTATTCGTTCAGCTTTGTGGGACAGAGTTTGGTACCCAACAGGCACTTGTATGATGCTGCCCTTGCAGCTAGCGTAACATTTTCTTTGTTAGCGCTCAAAGTCATCAATGCACAGGCCCAGTTCTGCTGTCCTAACCCCGACAAAGCTGCAGTCATGCTCAGCAGGAGTTTCACTTGGGATAGGACTTCAGAATTGAGTTTGATTGGGTAAGTTCACCTGGGCAACTAGTGTTTTCAGAAACGATGAACCTGAACCTCACTTTGGTTCTGAGACACAACATTACACGTATTTGCCCTCATTTGACAGCTGTGTTGCAAAAATACCCCCAAAACACCAACCTACAAACCCACGTTAAATGGTCCCAAACTGGAAAATAGAAAGTTATTGGGTTTGCACTGGGCAAGTATCTCAACCCATCTTCGAAAGTCTCTCAGGGAGCTGTCAACCGCAGTGGGTGAAGATACAGAACTGAGGGTTCATCTACACAGCAAAAATGACTGTTATAACACAAAACTAGAGGAGAAATACAGCACCATAACAGAGCATGCACCTGTTTGCTGGCAGGGCAGAACTGCTGTATAATATGGCTGGGTCACTGCTATGTTATAGCAAGGTCTCTCAGCATTGCTGAGATAGGCTCTTAGCCAATGTGAAATACCATCTCTGTTCCCTTACCCAGATCTTTTTGGTACGCCGCCCCCTCTCCCCACACACACACACACTTACAGTTGTATGGGGATGCCAAGCTTGATTCCTGCGGCTTCCACCACAAAGTGCATAATAAATAGTATAAAGTCTCTAATTATAGCCCAGTTAAAGGATACTTGGACTTAAGTCAGGCTATAAATGGCTTGTGCAAACTACCATTTTCCACATCAGGAGGCATGGAGGTTACTCACACAACACAATTATTGTTATTAGATTAAAGAAAAATGCTTAAAATAAGCTCCTTCCATAAAAATCTAGTTTGAAAATAGAAATTCTCTGGTCAGGCTGGCTTGAGAAATATGTTCCCAAGTTTACTGAGAAATGGAACATGAGCGTGTGCTCTATACATAACCCTGAAACAACATAAAAAGCTGAACACGTTATCGTTTTCCTTTCCCCTTTTGTCATCTGATGAAGGACGAAATCCTCGGCAGTTGGTTAAATTTAGTTGTTGTACAAAATAATCTATGTGTGTGAACCGCTACAGAAATCTACAGTTCCCACTACGTTAGAAATAAAAAGGAAAACCAAAAGTTAAGCCATCCTCAAAGTGTTTGGTGAGTTCTAAGTGACTAAACTTCTACCAGAAGAGGGGGAAAATCATAATAAAAAATCCCTACTGATTGTGGTGCACTGGAGTTCCCCCTTAAAAATGTAAAAAGCCCCATAAGTCATCAGCACCAGAAAGCAATTAGAGGCTAGAAATATATGTTACAACCTGCAAGCTACCCCTCTCTTTTTAAGAGTCCGCTGAATCTGAATGACCCAACTAAACCACCAGCAACAGACAGGCAGAAAAAAAGAGAGACTTCATAATTAACTTTGTGATTCCTCTCTGTTTTCCTTTCAAATGTTATTGATAGCACAAGTCTCCACGCACAAGTCTACGCCCATCGACTCTGTGTTTTACATTGTGGCTTCCTTCTGTAGTGCTCCACAGAGTTAATTGCCATGCCATTAACCCTATCTAGGTCTGTCCAATATCCTGGGGGTGAGAGGGGAGGACTGGATCTTTCAGAAGGCCTCCCAATTTGATGCAAGACAGGGTTATTTAAAAGCAAAAGTTAAAGGGTGTGTCTACAGAGGGACAAAAAACCCTTAGCTGGCCTTGGTCAGCTGACTTGGGCTCACAGTCAACGCTGAAAAAATGCTGTTTAGATGCTCCCCCCGCCCAGGGTCCCAGAGCTCAGGCCCCGGCCCACGCCCAAAAGTCAACACAGTAATTTTCCCTCATGCCGTCCATGCCCGGTGAGCCCAAGCCAGCTGAGCCAGGCCTACCGCATGTGGGACACGGATCTTTTCTCCCTGTGCAGACATACCCTAAGTTACTAAGCACTTGTCTACACGTAAAATGCTCTAGCGGCACCAGTGCGTCAATGCAGCTGTGCCACTGTAGCACATCAGTGTAGACGCTGCCTACTCTGATGGAAAGGGTTCTCCCATTGGCATAGGCAATCCACCTCCCCGAAAGGCAGTAGCTAGGTCAATGGAAGAATTCTTCAGTCGACCTAGTGTTATCGGCACTGGGACTTAGGTCGGCTTAATGCCACCTCTCAAGGGTGTGGATTTCTCACCCTCCTGACTGAGATAGTTGATAGACCTAATTTTCTCATGTAGACTAGGCTTTAGTAATCAAAATGATTTAAAGGACAAAGCAAGGCCAAAATGGCTCTGCAATAATGTGGACGTGCTGTGTTTGTACAGCACCTGCCACAATGGGGTTCTGGTCCATGACTGGGACTCCTAGGCACTGCTGCAATACAAACAAATAAATAAATAAGCTAACCCTGCATTCACTCGGAATCATGGGCCTTATCCAAAGGCCAAGGAAGTCAGTGGGAGTCTTTCCATTAACATCAATAGGCTTTGGACAAGGCCCGATGTGCAGAAGACACCCCCATACGAAAGCTAGAAGGAAGACCATCGTCTTTGGAAACATTCCTTTATTGGGCTGAAATTACATGTGTGTTTGCTACAGTCTTACAGACACCGAATTATATAATATAACTCATATGAGTTATATATATATATAACTCATATAATTATCTCCAGCACCATCCCATTGCCCCTGCCCTATGCATGCCCGTGGTCTGTGCAACTTGATACCACTGAGTTGCTTTGTCCCGTCTTCCCCCTACAAAGACGAATGTAAATCATATTTATCCTCAAATTCTGCTCTCTACACAAATCTGGAAGAGAGACCTGGAAAGAAACTATGCTCCCAGTCCACATTTTCCGTATTTGCCTGCTTTTAATTCATCTGATGATGAGAAAAAAATATCAGTCTAATTTTATACATGATTAAAATAAGCTTGGGCATTTGCAATGACATCTGGGAATGCATGAAAATAATTTGTGCTTTCCCTTTTCTAGGAATGTGTGTAAATTAGTTGCTGCATTTAGCTAGAAGAGATTTTTTCAAAATGAATCTCATTTACAAGAAAGAACGGTTAAATGCAGTTTTCCCTTTCAAAAGTTAATTTGTATGCCAATTCCATATGGATTTTGCACATAGATCTAGATTTAGTATTTAAACAGCAATTTTCATATTCAGACACAGATATAGATCTAGTTTTTAGGTGTGTTGTCTAGTGGTTAGGACAAGAGAAGGTGATCAGATTGCTGGGTTTTATTCCTAACTTTACCACTGATTTATCATGAAACCTTAAACAAAATCCTTAACCACTCCATATGTCAATTTGCCCTTAAGTAAAATCAGTATAATACTTGACCGCATCATGGGCCTCTCATGATTTGAAAAGCGCTTTGAGTTCCTTGGCTGAAAGATGCTATAGAAGTATAGACTATTTGAGATTTTTTAAAATTCAGTGACTCTTCAATCTTTTTTAAAGATACAGTAGAATAGCTATACCTACCAATGAAATCTATGGCTTCCTGGAAGTGAGAGCTGATGTCTGCCATGTGACTGTCCTCCACTGGGATCCATTTATAACAATATTGCTCTTTAAAGGACTCTGAACCTTTCCTGGAGACATTGAGCAAGGCTGTGATGTGCAGGTTGGCTAGGAACTCACACTTAGAAGCATGGTAGGCACTGCCAAGGTAAAGGAAAGGCAGGATTTCAACTGGACCACCCTAGAAGTTAAAGATAAAAATATGTTATTTTGCTTTTTCCCACCCCCCCAAAGTGAGCTTTGTCTTACGTTATGGCAGAATCATTGAACAGAGAAATTCAGCAGAGCCAGCGTGGGTGCTGACTCCCTGTCTGGTGGTTTTAGATCCTGACCAGTGAATCATTGTAATGGCAGAGCCCACACAGAAAAAGGCTTTCATTTTCTTGTCCAGCCACAGCTGAGGTCCGAAACCAGTTCCAGCCCACTCACACACATGATGTTTCCTGCTTTCTTTAAAGTGCTATGCTTCCCCTTAGAACTCACCCAAAGTGCTTTCATACGTGAAGCTAATTTCCCTGGAGAGTTTGCGGAGACAAAAAGGGTGCCATTTCAAAGCAGTGCACAAAGGTGCACACAGAAAACCAGTTTGTGCGATCAGTGCAGGGCTTGGAACCCACGCACACCAAGTATGTTAACAAGAAACCTCACAGTACCCAATTTGTAACCAAGAAAAAAAAACCAAAAAACAACCCAAACCTCCCCACACACACACACACTAGACTTCCGAATGCCTAGATGTGTGTGTTTATTGTATGGCTGCTTTGAAAGCAAACCTGAAAACATAAATGGATTGAAGAGTAAAGCACCTTTTTCACCCACACCTAAGAGAGACTTGCACAGTGACAGCTGGTGTCTGTTTGCAGAGCCTCCCCCGACCTCAGTGACAAAGCTTAGCTTAGCTGCCTCCATTTCCTGCATGCCTAACAGCAGTAACATGGAGGCACAGAACTCTGCCACGTCATATGCACCGCACACTCACTGCTGCTGCTCTGGGCCACCCACAGCTTTCTGCCACCAGAGGTGTAATTTCTGTTCCTTCTTCCACGAAAGGAAGTAAATAGTAGATGCGGGGGAAGGGGGGAAGAAAGGGAACAAAACCCAAAACACAGCCTAACAGAGAAGCATTTCAAAGACTCGGCAGGTAACTTTCCCATGGTGCGCTCACTGCACAGGACCTAGGCTGAGCGGCACTGCCTTCATTTGCAGTACGCTGAATACCTGCCTTAGTCTGGCTATTAATGCCGTTATTCAGCACATGCTGGGAAAGCGGCTGGAATGTGAGTGTTTTCCCTTTGCAGGTCACCTCGAGACACCCCCCAAAAGAGTGCCTTTTAGTCAATGTTTTGTTCAGCGGTAAAAAGGAATGAACATTCTCAGCCTGCTCAGGACAAAACCGGCCTCCAGGTTCAAGAAACAGAACACTACTGAACAAAATCATCTCGACCCCAGACTGAGAGCTGTAATCAGAAGTGTTCCCCTGGGTGTGTTTGTTGGTGTGAGGATTTCCCCAGGGGAAATCCCACAAAGAGGAAGTACCACAGAGAAATTGATCTTCTAAACAATATACTATTCACAGAACCTAGTCCTCCCACTCTCACTCTTAAGAACGGCCGTAGTGCATCAGACCAAAGGTCCCTCTAGCCCAGTATCTTGTCTTCCGACAGTGGCCAATGCCAGGTGCCCCCAGAGGGAATGAACAGAACAGGTAATCATCAAGTGATCCATCCCCTGTCGCCCATTCCCAGCTTCTGGCATATGAATAGCCCCAGTAATTTCAACTGGGCTACTAGGGGTCCCAGTCCAACAAGATGCAGGGCACCCGCAGGTCCCTTTGGTGTCTTGTTCCTGTTAAAATGAATCTGCATCTGTTGCGGATTGCAGGAGTGGTTCCTTGCATGTCATACAGGGCAGTAGCTCTCAACCTTTCCAGGCTACTCTACCCCTTTCAGGAGTCTGATTTGTCTTGTGTACCCCGAAGTTTCACCTGAAAAACTACTTGCTTATAAAATCACACATAAAAATACAAAAGTGTCACAGCGCACTATTACTGAAAAGTTGCTTACTTTCTCATTTTTACCATAGATTTACAAAATTAATCAACTGGAATATAAATATCGTACTTACATTTCAGAGCAGTATAAACAAATCATTGTCTGTATGAAATTTTAGTTTGTACTGACTTCACTAGTGCTTTTTATGTAGCCTGTTCTAAAACTAGGCAAATATCTAGATGAATTAATGTACCCCCTGGAAGACCCCGGTGTACCCGCCGGGGTATGTGTACCCCTAGTTGAGAACCACAGATACAGGGGACTGAAAAGCATTGGAGATCAAAGGTAGATAGATGCATAAGTCCTTAATGGCTGATGATACATGTGGCGGTTCTTTTCCTGTCCCTGCTTTAAGATTTAAGTCCCCTAGAGTGACATTTGTTGCTTAAGGATTTTGAAAAGGAAAGTCTCCTTTTGCCGACTGTGACGTACTTGCTAGTGTAATGAGAAAGTCAACAAAATATAATATTTGCGCTAGCTGTGTTGGTTTGTGGTTTTCCTTGTTTTGAAAACACTAGTACAAGGTACTACTGAGCAGTATTTGGAACAGCTCTTTACTCGACATGTGGATTGCCGATTCACACTACAATGGCTTTTTTACTAGCACCCAGGTTTGTTTGCATCAGTAGTAGTATGCAGATATTTCACAAGGTAGATCGATAACAGATGCAGCTATCACTTGTGATCTACTTAGGGGCTTTAATTCAAGAGGCATCATGATTCCTTTGGCTGGCAGTACCTCCAGAGGAGTGGCCAAAGTTTCTCAGATCAAGATTTGGTTATTTCTCAGTGCGGGGGGAGGGGGGGGGGAGGGAAGAGGAAGAATCAGATATTTACAAATATTATTGTCCCAAGATACCACAAAGACTATCTTGCACATCTGGAATTATGGATTTTTTAAAAGTAAGACAGATGGTATTTTGCTTTTTTTCCTATTTCTTGGGATAAGTGAAAGCTCTCTCTGTGGGCTTAATCCTGTACCACGGAAGTTAATGGGAGCAGAAGCTAGCTCTGTGAAAATATTACGTATCACACATATATGTATATTTGATATCATAAATAGTTAGATTCTAAGGTAACTAAATTGTAAATTTTTTCCAACTTTTTTTTTTTTTTTTTTGCATAAATTGGAGGCGTTGCAAAAAGAGGACAGAGGATTCCCTACTGCCTTTCCCTTTAAACCCTTAAGAAATAACCTACAACTAATCTGAACCTCAGAAGTGCAGCAAATGCTATGTTCTCCTTATCCCTGTTTCCCTTCCCCTGCAGCATTTGTCAGATCATTTTGAATGTGTTTGCTCTGTTAAATGGTATTTGCTGGCTCCAGTCCTGGTCTCAAGCCCTCAGCACTTAAGACCCCAGGAAAACAGGAAAAACCACAGACCCATTCTTTGACAGCTTAATTGAAGCACCAGATGAAAATAACAGAGTGAATAGTCAATTATAACAGGAAGCCCTGGAAAATGTCTATGTGGGGGAGGGGACAGGGAGAATTATTTACAGCTTCCCCTAAACACACCTGATCATAAGCCGGTTTGTGGTTGGTGCTCTGCTTCTCACAGTGGCTGTTGAGGTTTCTCTCCATTTCATTTCTCTCTGGGGAAATGGGTTTTACATCTACACAGCACTCAGGATATTGAGAGTAAAAGGTTTCATATCCCCCTAGGAAAAAAGAGAGAGAGAAATATGAATTTTCAGGTTTCTGAAAATTTAGTTAATTAAGCTGGCTCAGAAGTTAAGCTTCCAATAAATCAGAATACTGCATAATAAATGACCACTCCCATGGGGTGTTCAATAACAAAGAAAGTTCCATTCAGTCAAAGTGTTTGTTTAAAAAGGCTTTGTGCTCTCAAAGAAAAACTGCACTATAGCTAACAATTATTAACTTGCTAAAAAGCTGATGGATACAGATTAAAACCGTTTGTGAATGTAAATCTGTTGAATCTGGCAAATATTAACTTCATGAGGACTAACCATTTAATGTATTTTATAAATTATCAGAATTTCTAGCACTTGAGACAGAAAAGGAGATTGCTAGCTACAGTTTTCATCCTCTTAATATCAATTATTACTCTATGCAGTGTGCCAACATAAATAACATAAATGAATTCCATATATTTGCATTTTTATACGAGTATAAACATATAGGAGGTGTTTGCACTGTGATGATTAATTACACAATCACAAGGGATTGAAAGTTAATGAAGATGTTTTGAATGAAATCGATCCATTAAATAACAGCCATAAAACTTAATGAAATCCTGTGATAGCCTTTGACAACTGGATAGCCTCACATGAGCTATTCTGCACCGTTTAAGTACAGTGTTATATTCATTGCGTTGCTAATGAAAAGGAATTAATCCTATTATTACATTGTAACTCAAAGTTTGTCATTAGCTAAACTGACATCTATTTCACCACTGTGAATATTCTGCACGTCACTTTCAAGCGTGAATGTGAACAGTTGGAACAGAAACCATTTAAAAGCCATTTTTTGTACTTTATTAATTGCACCTTTTAGTGAGTTTCCAGTAAAAGAAAAAAGGAAGAATAAGTCTTAACAGTAAATTTAATAATCCTCAGGAGTGTGGCCCTTAAGTAAATAAGGCCCCCAGACCAAATAAATGCAAGATATGCTTAGCTGACTTGCAACCGTTTATTACTACTATACACGATGTCAGTGCAGGGTACCACATTAATGGAATTCCTCAAGAACAAACAGAAGTGCTAAAGTTTTGAATGACTGCATAAGTAATATGGATGTATTCGCATGGTAGGTGTCATGCTGACATTTTAACCTGTGTCTCAGATGTCTAATAAAAAGGACATATGCTGAAATTCATGTTGCTCTTAATAACACGGGTGCTTGAGTTGCAATATTTTTTCTATTTTCTTCAATGGGCTTTAGATCAGGCCCTAGAAGAATAGTAATCCCATCCATTCATAATTCAGAAGTATACCTTTCCACCTACTGCAAGACAGTGCAACCCTTTGCCAGTGAGCACACAGTGAAAGTCACTAGGTCAGGAGGCAAATTAATAAATAAAATACAGGGCTTTAAAGGGGCTAATAAAACAATATCCAGGGCAAATAGTGTTGGCTCTTTAGGTAAGTATTACAAGCCCTCAAACTCACCCACAACCATGCCTTGAAATTGCCTCTCAAACCCCCTGCCTCTCAAAACAACCCATACGCGGGGCAAGGTTTTGATCAGTCTTCCTGACGGCCTTGCGTAGGAAGAATCTATGTTATTTATATATTTAACCATGATATCTATTTATGATCCATATTGTTGTTTTTCCTCTTGAATAAGCATAGAAATCCACCCAAGAGAAATCTAGATATGTTTTCAACAGAGACACAGATTTCTCTTGGGCAGATTGTGGGTGCAGCCGGCAAATGGTTAATTGCAAGCCTTGGGGATCAAGATATTTGCAGACCATTCTTAAAATGAGTCATCCTCTCCCCCCCTCCCCAAACCTAACTTCCTTGAGGTCATTTCTGCAAATACTACATTGCTCATCACATTGAAGCACAGTACACATCTCTATTTTCATCAATCATTAACGTAATTCTTGTTATATGAAGCTAGTACCACTACCCAGTGGTAAGTGATTTATTGTTTTACCTTTCCATGACCCCCCCCCCAGTAACTGCTCCTCCACACATGGAAGATCTGACACATTGAACTCCTAGAGCTAAACAAGTAAGGGAGGCTTACAAAAAACCCACCCAAACAGGCATGACGCTACTCAGTACTAAAAGCAATTCCCTATAGAATTGTACAGGGCACTGTGATTAGCTGACAAGAGTCTGACTCATGCCTCAATCGCATCATAACTCCCTGGTTCAGACCCCAATTAGCCACACTTTCCCCAGTGCCCCCTCTCTTCATGCCACCCACTTGAATGGTAAACAAGGATGACAGGGAGAAAGGTTAAGAACGGTCTCTGGTCTCTCTTATGGCTCTTCGCATTTATGTCCTCACACTACAGTCAGATGATTTTTAACACAGTTCAAAATACAGACAGGCTTTAGGACAGCCTGCCTACCAAAGCCAGCTGCAGCTTCCAGGAAAAAAACCCCTCCAACAATCAACAGGATAATCCATTTCACATACCTGGGGTTAGGCAGCAATGTTAATGTTACTGAAAACAAAATTAAATTGTTTTCTGACCAGTGATCAGAGAGTTTCAAAAGTGATTCTTATTTCCCCCTGGCATTTCGGAAGAAGGCATCTTCGAGAACCACCATGACTTCTAAGGGTCTGTCTCCCTACTGAGTCAGCCTAGCTGCCCACTGAGTCAGCCTGGCTTGTTTCAAACCGCACCATTTCCTAAATGCTGCTACATATTTTATGTTCCTGCGTGGTGGACTCAAGCTTCCAGTGTGTTTACTGGAAATGAAACAGGGTTGAGGGGGAAAGAGGAAGAGAGTCTGTAGTTTTACTAATTAAGGGAAAGTACTTCTACACTGAGTGGATAGAAAACATTTTGCAATAAAACCCCTACATTTCACTCTTCCTCAGATATATTACATATCCCACAAACACAACTTCAAAGGGAGGGGCAGTGCATTAGGAGGGAAAAGATGGTCTTGTGGTTAAAACACAAGACTGAGAATCAGAAGATCTTGCTCTTTTCCCAGCTTTTCCTGAGTGACCTTGGACAAGTCACTTAACCTCTACCTCACAGGGGTGTTGAAAAGCTTAACATGGCATTCGGAAAATGCTTTGAGCTCACCCAAGGGAAGAGGATATAATATTACTACATATTCCCATCTCCGGTACAAGGGTCTTCCTTCAGTCTCGTACCACGGAATATATGCCTGTATCTCATGCAACTAAACTCCTCTCTGTTGTGTTGTTCCTTATATGACGCACAAATTGCAATGAGACTATGTGAACAGAAGAGCTGATCAGATTACCCTGTGGTCACTAAAAGATTACACTTCATGCTTATCAATGGGTTTGTAATTCACACAGACACCTATGATTTAAAACTTATCCGCTCCTCACTTACAAATGCCCTAGTTTCCCAGCATTTGCTGCAATCATTTATTTGTTTATTGGGAGGGATTGGAAGCATTTTTCTTTGTTTTAAATTTCTACTTTACATTTTAAAATCCTTTCAGGAATAAAATCTTCTGCTGTTTTCTGGAATAGAAAACTGCAGCTTAAGAGCTGCAAAACCACAAGATGAAGTGTTACTGGAAAAGTATGGAACAGGGCTTCTGTTTCTTTACAGGGATCCCTCCCTCCCCTTTACTAACAGCATTGAGAAGAGCACAGGCAGACAGGATTTTTGAAAAAGGGAATGAAAAAGCAAGGATAAAAAAGACAAAAGCGTTAGGAGGAGAAATGAAGGAGAAGGGTGAGCAGGGCGGACAGAAGAAAGGGCTGAGTGCTCATTTTTATTGTTTTATGACCCATGCATGACACAAAAGACAAACAAAAAGGAGCAATGAAAATGCTATAAATAGTCATTGGGAGTACTGTATTGGTGACATCAGCCACAGGATTCTCACGCTGGGGCAATACTGCGGGCCCCAGGGAAGTCTTTATAGCACCGTTCTTCACAGATTACTTAGGTGTTCTCTGCTCTGCTGAACCCGGGAACAGACTACTTGGGGTTTGGGTTTTCAGTTACACGCAGGAGTTATGACATGTCTGACTGAGATAATTTCCACCATTGTAGAGGATTTCAGACACTCGGCAACACTGCCAAGCGAAATAATCCATTGTTCCCTTTTGATAGAAAGAGGAATTCATCACTGAAATAGGGCATGCGGGTTGGAAACAGCCCAGCATACTCTTACCTGTGTGACTCATTAACCCTGCAGATCGCTCAAATTCATATCCATGCTGAAGCCACCTCGTTCCATGGTAATAACCCCCCCCCCCCCCACCCACACACACGGTTCTTATTCCTCAAAAGGTGGCTTCGGCCACCCTAACATCAGCCCCTTAAACTCACGTCTAGTTAGGGACAGACAGGCCGGGGTCTACCAGGGGGTGATTTGCAGGGCGGGGAGAATAAATGAAATGAAACTTCCGCGTGACCTCCCGTGTGTCAAATATTGCTCGTGCCCCCAGCCCAGGGGTGGATGCTGCGTATGTTGCTCTGCGGGGACCGCCGCTGTTACCTGGCTCCACTGGCCGGAGGCTTTTGTCGGATTTCGTCGCTAGAGAAATACCAGAGCGGGGCCGCTTTCCCTCCCTCCCCCTGCTCTGCGCTCTCATCTCTCCCCTCCCCTCCCTTGTTTTCTATTCTACCCACCTCCCCCTACCTTCCTACGCCCCGATTCTCCCCCAGTCCCCCGGCCCATCGCCCCGCTGACCTTTCAGGAAGCAGACCCTGGCCCCGGCCTCCGGCAGGCTGGACAGCAGGGCGTTGAGGACGATCTGCGCCGTGCTCTCCTTCTTCAGCTTCTGCCAGTGCCCGGTGCCTTGATCCAGGACGACCACCGCCGCCAGCCGCGCCGCGGCCGCCCCTTCCCCCGGCAGCAGCAGCCGGGTGCGGGCCGCCTCGTCCGGCACCACGAAGTTGAGGGGCACGGGCCCGCCGCGGGCCCGGCGCATCACGACCGAATTGAGGTTGACATTGAGCGCTCCCCGCAGGCGGGAGGCTGAGTAGGACAGGTAGGGTCTGCAGTCCAGCACCAGGCAGCGGGAGGGCTCCTTCCGCAGGAGCTTCCGGAGCTGGCGGCAGTCGAGGGCCGCCACCTTCTTCATCGCGGTCTCCGGCCGCAGCCCCCCTGGGCTGAGCAGAGCCTCTCCTCGAGCGTCGCCAGCGGCGGATCAGGCTGCAATGAACTCGGGGGTGGTGGTGGGGGGGGTCCTCGCTTTTGCGTGGCTTAAATTGAGGATGGGAAGAGAAGGGAGGGGGGTCCCCTCCGCTACAAGGGCCGGGGGCTTAAACGGGTTGGGCTCGAGCGGCTACAGCCGGTCCCCTGATCCCCCCTGCCTGCCGCTGCGGCGCGCCCGGCTCCGCCGTCGCATTTCCACCGGAGCAGCAGGGGATTCCGTTCGCCGGGGAGGAAATTTATCTGAATGGAACGCCGGCTCCTGACGGCACTGCCCATATAAGGAGAGTGACGCCACCAACGTTCTAAATATGGGCAACCCCCGCCCCCTCCACGCTGGGGCCACGGCCACTGAGGCGGGGTGGGGGGGGGGAGGAGGGAAGCGAGCCCCGCCCCCGTGAGCGGCGCCGGCGGGAAGGCAGAGGCGCTGCTCAGTAAAGAGTTAGTCAGAGCTGAGCAGAGGAAGTTGAAGAACGCCTCAGAAATTCTCCCGTCATCAGCCTCCTTCAACTCACTCATCACCGCGGGCCCCGCTGACTTAGTAATGAAAGCGAGGAAGCGGGATGGGGGGGGCGGGCGGAGGTTGCTCACCTTTCTTAGAATCTGGCCCAGGGAGAAGGGGGAGGCTGCAAAGGGTTGCAGCTACCTCAGGGGGCTGGTTTTAAAACCGTAGCTAGTCTTCTGATGAAAGACACCCACAGGGATGTAAATCGACAGCCGGGCCCTGGTTACAGACATCAGTGCCGAGCCCTAAAGCAGAGGCAAAACTGATAGAAACTGTGGCCAAGTGCAAATGCTAGGAGGGGTACGCTACCCCCGTGAGAAGAGCAGATTTGTCGGCCTGCACCCCGGGGGTTGCAGCAACAGTGGTGGCTAAAAGCAAGGCAGACCCCCAGTGTAGACAAGGCCTAGGATACAGCACAGTCTGAGACAAATGGCAAAACACAGGGTAACGATCAAGGAGAATTAGTGGTAGGATAGGTTTGCAATGGTAATAGGTTTTAAACGGGGAGGAGGTGGTGGAGGGGTGGGTACGACGTGTGGAAATACGTCCTGAAATACGTCAACCTCACCCCTTTTTTGCTTATTACTCTTACTTATATCACGACTAGATTCTAGATTGTAAACTCTTTGAGGCAGGGGACTTATTTTACACTCTGCAAATCACCTAGTACACTTGTGGAGGCTATAAGAATCATTATGTACTTAGATCATACCCTCTGAGACAGTATGGGTGAGGAGTGTATCTAGCACAGTGGTTCTCAACCTATTTACCATTGGGGGCCACGTCCAATACCACCTCTATGGCCCCGAAGGAGGTCACATGGGCCACAGCTGTGTGCTGATTGGGCCACAGGTTGAGGACCACTGACTAGTACAATGGGGCCCCAGATCCTGACTGGGACCTCTAGACACTACCCCAGTACAAGTAATAACCACCACTTAGGGCATCTGATGTGCCATTTTACTTCATTGTACATATGTTTTTTGTAAGATGACCAAATGGGCACTGGCAATACCTGAAACAACCGATACACAAAAGCATGCGCTCAGAACCAAACTACAGCAGCCGCTAAAGATGATACGGACACTAATTCAAAACATTATGTATGTATGTCATTATTTAGCTAATGCCTCAAAAGTGTTCCAGGCAGCTCACAGAACATACTGAAGATGCCGTCCCTAACCCAAACTGCTTAAATTTTAAATAGATAAGAAATTATAATCTACCTTCATTTTTTCAAATACTACAAATATACCAAAGTACAAGATTCATCCTAACGAACAAAATAAGTAAAGAGGGTTATGATAAAGGGATAGGAGGGGAAGCGATATATCTGTCTCCAGGGGGACTGCATTAGTCATATACCTCTGAAAAGTCAGCCCAAATTGCTTTCAATTTTTCAGGCATTCTCCTATGGAATGCCAGTTGTTCGTTAGCTGTGAGGTCAGCCACATCACCAAGCCACGTATCAGTGGTTGGTGGGGATCAACTTTTCCATTGTGTAGGATTAATTTTTTAGTGACAAAAGCTGCACATTGGAACAACACTGCCAGGTAGCCTCCAGGTATCAGGAATATATTCAGAATGAACCTTAGGGGGGAAGGCTCTAGTTGAGCCTCCAATATCAAATTGGTCCTTTGACCTACCTCATACCAGAAGTTCTTGATACATAGATAAGATAGATTTTATGAAGTAGACAGACAACGTGCAAAGAAAATGTTTGAGGTGGTGTTAGGTACATGCTATGATTATTTTTATAGTACCCCCTTCCCCTGCCTCTTGTAATCTCTCCACATGCCCCAGACGCCTCCATCCACCCTGACAGGTTTCAGAGTAGCAGCCGTGTTAGTCTGTAGTCACAAAAAGAAAAGGTTTCAGAGGAACAGCCGTGTTAGTCTGTATTCGCAAAAAGAAAAGGAGGACTTGTGGCACCTTAGAGACTAACCAATTTATTTGAGCATGAGCTAAAAGGAGTACTAGTGGCACCTTAGAGACTAACCAATTTATTTGAGCATAAGCTTTCGTGAGCTACAGCTCACTTCATCGGCTGCATTCAGTGGAAAAGTACTCCTTTCCATCCACCCTGACATTCCCCAAAACAGCCAGCCTTATGATGAGACAAAAACAGCCAGTCAGGCGGTGCCGATGATGATGAAAGTCTCTGGTGAGTGGGTCGAGGCTACATGCCCCTGCTACCTCTAGCAGCTTGAATGTAGGCAGGCTTTGCATTCCCAAAGCACCTTCTACCCCACAGTCTCAAAGCCTCATCCCCAACCCTGAGGTAGGTAACTATTATCACCATTTTGCAGGTGGGGAATCTAACAGAGACGTGAAGTCTCAGGCACAGGAAGTCTAAGGCTCAGCGTGATCAGAACCCACATTTCCTACCTCCCAGCCCTGAGCTTTAGCCATGGACCACTCTTCCTCCCACTCAGGGAATCTCATCTGTAGAGAGTGGACTGTGGAAAGACTTCCCCCCTTAACATTTACTCCCCCTGACTGAAACAGTCAGTGGGTGTGAAGCTCGGAAGTTTGGAGACCAGGCAAGTGAACTCACCCTCTCCAACTAATCCTTCCTTATTCACATCCACAGAACACAATGGAAGAGGAAGAGAAGGATGCAGGAAAGAAGATGCAAAGTTCCCCTGTCCAAGAAGCGGGGGAGGGGGAAAACCAGTCACCCGTCTTCTCTTACTCTCAGGATGGAAGCACAAGAGAAAAGTGAGGGGATAGAGGAGGGAGCCTGACTGCCCCATTCCCCAGCCCACCCCAGCCATCTGACTAAGCCCATGGTTACTGTGTTAAATGACTGGGACTCTTTCCTATAACACCCCTCTCACATTTAGGAATACATCAGCAATACAGGATCTGATCCTGTAATTTATTGAGTGCATGGGGTTAGTCACGTAGGGGCTGCAGGACTGGACCCAGACTGTTCTCAGTTTGGTGTGAGGCATTGGTGTGGTTCCTTTATTTTGCTATTAGCAGGTGCTCAAAGTGAGAAGAGAGAAGCAGGTTGGATTCTTGTAAAGGGAAGTGGTTGAGCAAGCCAAAAACCACCCTGGTTTAGGTAGGAAACTCCCCTCCCCCATTCTGCCTCCCTCCTGCACCTGCCATCATTACCTCCTGCTGCTGTGTTGTCTCTCCCCTCCTCCCCCTTGTTAATCTCTCTGGCTATTTCTTCCATTGTTCTGGGCTTTTTTATCAGCCCTCTGGGAGCAACTGGTCTCTTTCCTTTTATTTCAGACTATTTCCTTTACATTATTTCATTCTTTCCCCCACAATGCGAGACTCTTTGTTTCTCCTTGTTCTTGGGAAACAATGAGAAACTTTTCCTTTATATTTCAGAAACGCTGGCACTTGGCTCCTGCTAGAGAAAAGGGTCAGAACAAAGCTTAACTGTAAATACAGGTAAAAGCTCCCACACGTGCAATATCCAGGGTACACTGTTCAAGAATAAAATGCTGCCTCTTGAAAGACCTAGTGTGCCTTTATTAAGAATATAATTAAAAAAACAGTTTTAAAAAGGCTTAGTCAAATAAATAAACACTGCTCCTTTGAGCTCTGCATATTTAAAGGGAAGAGATACGTGATCAGCCAGATTTTCATGACCACCTGTTGTGTTTATTAGTATAATTATAGTGCATAAAGGCCCTATTGTGCTAGGTGCGGTACATGCCCATTGTAAGAGAATCTTTGCCTCAAAGAGCTTACAGGCTAAATAGAGAAGACTGACAAAGGATGAGAGAAAGGAAGTGCTGTTAGCCCCATTTGAGAGATGGGGAACTGAGGCACAGAGAGTTTAAGTGACTTGTCTGTGGTTACACATAGAAATCTATGAGAGCTGGACCTAGATCTCGATTCTCAGTCCAGTGCATTTAACCACAAAATCATCCTTCCCAAAGCAAAGTCCTTAAGATGCTCTACCCCAATTTGTGAAGCTAAATTTCAAATGTGAGAGAGACTCAAAATGAGGGACAAAACCGCAGAGCGGACAGCTTGACATTTCTTTTAAAGGCATATGAAGTTTTCCGTAATCTCCCTTTCTAAATTCAAAATTGCTGATGTCAAATACAGAGCAGCAAGCAGCGAGATGGCAGGTTTGTGTTCGTGATGCTGGTAAACTGAGGTCTAGAAATGAAGGTAAATACATACCTAGGATTGAGAGATGGCTGGAAGACACCAAAAACAAAATTGGAGAGTTAAGAACACAGAGATTTGACAACTCTAATTCTCACTGTTCATAATCCTAATAAAACAGAGCAAATAATGAATTAATAATCCCTGCATTATAATTTCTCAGTCTGAATATAATAACATTGTCAAGGTCTGATTTTTTTTATTGCTATATGCAATCAAAGATAAATGCATTCCATTACAATCTCCCACCTCGCTTAACGGCACCGCCAATGTGATTCATTGTTGAATCTGACCCTCTTTTCAGGAAGGTGTTACTAATTTGATGACTTGTAATTGCACATGCATTTGTGATAAACTGAGTTAGTTGATCTCTGAAAGCAACATATGTAGATTCCAGCAAATCTGCCATCGTAAATGGCTATTGCCAAGGAATTATGCAAAACTGAATTGTAAATTGTAAAATTAGGCACAACCAGCTGATGGAATTGGGGTTTTATTGTGGAATGAGTGTACCAGACTTGGAATCTATTCCCAGCTCTGTCACTAACTTGCTTGTTCACCTTGAGCAAGTCGTAACCATTCCGTGCCTCAGTTTCCCC